AATCGCCATCGACTCTACTCTAAATAACAATCGGTCCTTAGAATGGATCCCCGTTAGTGAATAGATTGAACAAAATGATTTCCGCACATTCACAGTGTGCTTCATCTCGACCAGAAGGCAGGTGAGAGTGCGGTTGCTATACACATCAACCGCACTTGCACTTGCCTTTATCGGTCCCCTACTGAGCCAAAATAGGCAGTATTCTCTCATTCAACCAGCCAGGAGTCTAGTGGTGCGACCCACGTAACTCGCGCCACAGAAGCAGGTAAACTGGTAGATACAAAATGAGATCATCTTCATCGATATCCTGCCCTTCATCTGTAATGAGAGAACTCATTTAGAAGAGTTAATATGTTCAATTCCGTTGAGAAATAACTATTTTCTACGACACTCCTCAGTTGTTTGCTCACTGTCCTCTTAAGGGTGTCACCATTGAAAGGTAAAGAAATGTAAACATTTTTCATCTCCGCTGTTGGGTCCTTTGATTTTGCAATGTAGGCTCCCATACAACTATCGTTAAGCTCTTCTGGGTATCCATTTTTCAGGAACAGTTGCCAATTCGTCATCCATTGTATCAGTAGAGCAAAGTCTTCTTACACGACTGGCGATGCACTGAATTACCCTTCGTTTACGTTGTATCGGGACAAAACTATGATAGCTGATATATTGCCCTGTTCATGTATTTTTTCTGTGTATGCTTCATCTGAGAGCCATCTTCACGGCGTAACAAGTAAACATCAAGAAACGCCATTCCTTGAGCAAAGAGCAAAGATTTATTATGGGTATAACTTACAAGCTCATGCTTTTCTCGTCTCATAGGTTCGTGTTGGGGTTAAAATACGGTGATACATACAATTATTTGGGCAAAATGTCGCGTGAAACGGGATTCTTCCACTGCTGCGCACAGCTTCACTTAGGTTGGAATGTATGATGTGCTAATGTTTCATTGAGTCTCAGTTTGAAAGATACAATGCTTGGTGCACAGATGACGTGGGTGGGAGAGAGTTCCAGGTCGAACACACTCTGACTAAGAATGACTGACGCCGGCATTCCAAGCGGAATTCTGCGACTACTAGTTTGAACGAATGTCCTCTGAGAAGAATGCTGGGTGATAATCTTATCAGCGGGCGACACGGATGGCTTGGTTTTTTCATTATTTGGTATACCATAACCATGTCTCCTCTGATGCACCGGTAGTGATTGGGATATAACCTCAGCGACTTTAATGATGATTCAACCACCTAACCATTTTGCTGCCCATCCTTTGTGGACGCTCCAGCATTTTGCAATCACGTTTTAGCCATGGATTTCATGCCTGGATGGCGTGCTCTGTGAGTGGGTGAATGTATGCTGATATTAGACGGGGAACAGCGCTGACTCAAACCGGTTAAAGACCCGCTTAAGAAAATCGACATTCTTTAGAGCTGCGTTTGACACCCTGGCGCAGTTAAATGAGCTGCTTAAGTTTTCCTGAATGATGATGCCCAGGTCCTTCTCACTTGAGGCATGTGTCAGTTGTTCATTTCCGAGGAAATACGAAAATCGCCCCTTGTATCGTAAAGGTAGAACCTCACACTTAGACAAACTGAATTCAATATCGTTCAGAAGAGACCAGAGGTGAGCTGATTTCAGTGATTCCTAGAGTGCCAGCAAGCCCGCTGGTTGCGCTACTGTATCCCAAATTTTGGTGTCATCTGCGAAAACTAATGATTTTGGCCCCAGAGCCTTCGGTAGGTCGTTTATGAATGTTAGGAAAAGTCGCGAGCAAAGCATAGTTCCTTGTGAAACCCCACGGATAACTGTAAAGCAAATCAGAGACACTAACCAATACGGTCAGATGTCAGAGAAATCCTTCGATTCAATTAAGCATGTGACCCGAAACACCGTGATTATAGAGTTCTCGCAGTAGAATGTCGTGGTTCACCCAATGGAAAGCTTTTGAAAAGTCTAGATAAATGACGTCTACCACGTCGCCGTCACCAACTACCTTTGTGCATTCTTCTAGTGCGATGAGTAAATTAGTAGCGCAGGATCGCTTCTATCGGAATCCACATTGATTTGGTGACAGAACGTTCTGCTTCTCTTGGTGTTCCATCAGGGAATCTGCTACTGTGGACTCCATGACTTCGGACAGATTCCATCTCTAGCGTGAAAGTTATAGTACGATGAGCACGATTAAAACTGTCCAAAAACGTTGAGGGATTTTGTAAGTTTTCGATAACACAAATAATATCATCAACATAATGCCCGTGAAAGACTGTTCAGTATAGGTGGACAATGTCTCATTCTCCAGCTTATCCGTGAATATATCGCCTAAAAGGAAGCCTAATGGTGAACCCATAACGAATATAATTCTCGACCGATACCTCTGTTATTGACATTCACAATAAATCAATTGTTTCGTTCAAGGGAACATTCTTAAACAGCGAATTTACATCTAGCGTGGAAATATATCTGTTGGTTGCATCTAATGATTCTATCAAGTTCACAAATTTAAATGAATCCCTCAGAGAGTATTTTGCCAATTCTCGCCTGACTGGCTAGCCACTTTGCCACAGCGTAATAAGACGAATTACATACACCCAAGATCGGTCTTTGCGGGCAGTCTTGTTTGTGCACCTTCGGTAATCCATACAATCTAGGAATGGTCGGATTTCATCAAATGTTGAACAATCAATGATTCCGTCTTGCTTCCCTTCTCTAAGCGTCTTTGAAATTGACTTATTGATAGCTGCGGTTTTGTCTTTTCCCCCTGTGCTACACGTAAATTTGGTTCCGTCAAGAATTCGAACGTTCAATTTATCCGCGTAATTCTTTTCATTCATAATAACTATACCTGTTCTTTTATTTCTGGTTTTGATAGGATGATATCTGGTTTCTTCAAAGTTCTCGCAGCACATCAAACTGCCTCTTAGATAAGGTATTTTCCCAACTTGTGTCCGAAGTGCCCCCACCTAACATTTCAGTTGATGTTCACACTCCGCAAGGGATTATCACCGATTATGCGGTCAGTGTTGAAACATCTCCCTCCCTCCCTCCCGCGTCTCTCGACTCTGTGTTATTCCTTGTGGATTTATACGACTACCGTTGTTCCACGTGTACGCAGCTAACTGTTGTGTCCCCCTTTCAGCCAATTCGATCCTGGTATAAGCAAGGATTGTCTGACATTGCTTGTGAGAATTCAGCGAGTCTCATTCGTCTGTCTCCCTGTTCGTATACTACAATTACGATGCGGTCCGGGTGAATCTTCAGAGATCGACCAACCTGCTTTCTGAGAGGGTACTATTACACCGTTGCACATCTGTCCACCCAACCTACACATGCGTCCACCCTAGTTGACACAGTCATGTGACACACAACACATGCTCGCGCACTGTGACAATCCTTACCAGTCATGTAACACAGACACGCACTATGATAATGCAAACAGTCATAATGCTATACACGCACTAACCGCACCTGTTACCTCACCACTTTGACTCATTTACTCAACTATGAACCCAAACAATCATTGTACTTGACCTTGTGATATTCGCCCATCAGGTTTGGGTGACTAGGATTTAACACAATATCGATTGCACGTCGCACCATCACGTTCGAACTCTGTGGATCATAGTATGCTGTTTATTTTCGCGGACTCGGGAAATCTTGATATGATACTTATTCTCCTTCGACTGTTGATTTATGCCAATATCCTATTGACGTGTTAGTTATTTAGTTCTTACAGAACCGCATTGATATCCATATACGTATCCCGTACGATAAGGTGCTTAAGTTTTGCTCAACTTCACCGGGATTGTGAATAATCAAGAGAGTGATCCGACCCAGACAAGATTGACGTTAAGTAGTACACTGTTTCTCATATTGAAATTAATGCTCAAATAGGTGTTAAAAGACTTCAACCAAATTATTTTCGGATATGGATGTGCCCGAGACCGACGTTTTCCATGAAACCGTACGTACTGTGTCATGATGTCTAACCAAGATGCAATTTCTTGACATGGTCTGTGGTAAATTTTACATTGCTGAATTATGTTACCCAACAAATTTCCATTTTAATTGCAGTCCTCTACAATCATTCAAAGACAGCTCGCCCTAAAGATGATTAGACTCAAATGTCTATTTTTAATTGGTTATATTGAATGAGTTAAACAGGATGTTGAAGATGATGGATCTCAGTTACCAATCCTCAAATCCAATGTAATCAATGACGCATAGTATCACCCTTCGATGCTATGATGCCGGATAGTACGTAAACCATCAGGATAAAATAGTTATTGCACATTTGTATGAATCATTTAGGTGTTCTTGATGACTGAAATAAACAGTTGTTGAAACCAACACCACCATCATAACAACAGCAACAACAACAAGAAAGACAACATGAATGCGCATTATCTCTGAAACCGCACGTAGATTAGACACAATCAAGTCACAACACCGAGATTAGGAATGTGAATGTGAAACAATGGCTCTTTTTTTCTTGATTCCGCAAGGTCCGGATGATACACCGAAAAGTTTCGCATCGATCCGTCTTCACCATCTGTTTGCTTATGTGTAGATCTGTGTTTGAGAGGAGAGGGGGTACAAAGTTTGGTTAAGAAATGCTATATAAGTATTCTATTGATGGAATAAAATACACCCGGAATGAAACCGGTTCACACCAACTGTTCGAGAGACCAAAGTATTAGACGACGTTGGAGGAAAGAAGTGACGCTCTTAATAGAAGGTGATTGTATGCATTGAAACAGTCAATCTGTCCCAAAGAGGAAGCGAATATGTTCGTTGAACATCAACCGTTTTGCAGATACTGTTAACCAAATATAATGAGTTTCCCGTGGATGGTTCAGTCGACCCCACAGCTTTTGCATAAGTAAATCACGAACATTGTTTCATGAAAATATAACAATGAGTGGGCAGAGAACGACTCGTATTGTTCATTGGTGATTATCTGAATTCCTGCATCGATTCTATCGGTCCGGTTTACTGCACAATCGGGACTAGGCGACCAAACGTTTGATCCCGCATTCAGGACAAAATTTTGCCGCCGCACTGGGGAACGCACTCCCACATTCGTAGCAGAATTTGTTCATTTTCTTGCCTACTGTTTTCTGATCAGTTTGAGCTCGACAGGAATCAGTTGCGTGGTTGTTTTGCGAGTTTAATCTGTTCAAAAGTGAAAACACGCGTGATTAGCGGAAGGATATAGTGGAAAGACGTAAGAGACCAGTTAGAAAAAACGAACAAACATTGTGGTAAACGGATAAAATGAGAACAAACGATCGGACTAACAAACCTATCCTTAGAAAACATATCACCCTTTGGCATATTGGAAGTGTACTGTTCAGAATTCCCGTTCTCTCTGTATACACTGTGCGGATCCATATCCAGACCCCTAATTTGTTGGTCTCCTGTACTCGGTCCCGGATGTTCTATTTCTAATGACCCGTGATAGGCTGAATCAACCATATGTGTTCTGATCTCATTTGCAAACGGAGAATTTTCAAATACTGTCAAATTTTCGTCTATTCCAGACGGACGATGTAATGACAAATTTGGGACAGTTGGATGGTTGACTGGAATGTTCGGTGGTGTCCCGTAGGCTTTGCTTGTCAACAAATTCGGTTTCGGAACGGGAATAAACGATCGGGGGTTTCGCGTCAAATCACGAGCAAGTTCACGAGCGTTCAGATAGTCCTCGTGTGTACGACCAGAACGAAGCACAAGACCGTGGTGTCTGACAGTGGTCGTATCTGTCTCAGACAAATCCACTTGCAAAGTACCAGTACAATGATCACTGACCGGTCGGTGTTCTGGAAAGTGATTTTCTATCCTATTCGAATATGCATATCCAGTNAGTTTGAAACGAACATGCACCACCAATTGATGCTGGGACACGTTCAAGTTCAATCCGATCAGAGTTAGGTGTGACGTTGGAATCAGAGTGATTTTTTGGACTGTTCATAGATGTATCCCCAGTTGGATGTCCAATTATGTTCGCTTTTAATCCCGGAACTGACCTGGATTGTGTTCCACTCGATAGGCGTGTGGATCCATTGTGTTGAGTTTGACCGTTTCCAACTGTTGGTGACGAGGAGGACTGATTGGATCGTTCAAGAGATACACAGAAGAGAACGAGAAAGGGAAAATTATTAAATACCTGATTGGGCTATTGAAGGCAGACAGGTAATCATGAACGCGCCAATGTAAAAAAATGACTTTGCACCACTCAAACTTGTTTCACGATAAAATCGATACTGGTTTCTCAACCGATAGTATAAAATAAATGTTATGGTATAAAAGAAGCTTCAGAATTGCGTAACGCTTCAGTCTGATCCAAGATGGACATGTATTCAACTTGTTTTTCGCACTGAGATAAGTTACACCGCCTAATCCTTTGACATTCACCCCCATTTCCGAAAGCAAGGAAGTTCCGCTAAACGAGTGGATAATCAGTTTCTGACCGATACTTTTTATGCTGCCTTGCGGAAAGGTTGTCCCATGAAGCAATATTTTTCTCATGTGTCCAAACTTCTATTTGCCGATCGACTACTTCAGTTCCAAGCTATCAAAAGGTTGGGAACTGGAGCTTTACAAAGAGTACTGTTACTACGTGAATTCTAGTCAAACTATCCAATGGTCGCAAATAAAGACTACAGTAATAAAACATTGGCTCGTTCCCCACCCCTTGCGATCAATGACTGTGGTAAGAGTCCCTGAATATCCCCAAGGCCACCGACTAGCTGAATTTTTCGCACCATCGATTAAGCATTTTACATTATTCCGGTACAAACAAACAGAAGAAAATACTTTCAGTATCTGTTGACAAAGTACTGAAAATCGGTTCTCGTAGCCAGGGTGGACTGAATTCAATTTCGCCAGTTCACAGAGCTTGGCAATTGGTTTGCAAATGTTTCCTCACCAGCCAATGTGACATCCTTAATGCTTGTGAAGTGGCATTGTTCCGACTGTACTAGTGCGTTTATACATGTTTGCCAAACCTCAAGAAATTCTCTGGCGTATTTTGACCGGGCTTGATCGATGACTTTCACTGATTTGAAGTAAAATTCATGTCCTCCTTCGTGGAGAGAAATCAACGATAGTGGGACACGCCTTCTGACTGCCGATTGGTGTTCACGGATCCTTGTTGATAGTTTTTTCCAGTTTGTCCGATATGATATTTTGGGCAGTTCTTGCAGTTTATTTTGTAGACAAAATTTCTCTTGTCCTTCTCCATTTTTCTCTCCTTTGGTTTTGAAAGGAGTCTCTTAAGACAGGCAGTCAGTTTGCGGACGACTTAAATTCCATATGATCTGAGCAATCTGGCCGCCATTTCCGAAACGTCCTTGAGGTATGGCAATTTCGTTCTTGTTGTTTCCGATTCTCAGTCTGTCGTTTGTTTCCTCCTTTGAGTCAGAGTTCTTTTGATGAAGTTACGGGCGTAGCCATTGCGAGCAAATACTCATCGATGTATCGGAGCAAAGTTTTAGCATGTATCTTGTTTGTACTTCCTTCTCCAGCTTCTGCATTACGGCTTCGGTTATGAATTCAAAAATTGGATCCGTTAACATCAGCCGGCAGTCAGGAAGCATGATCTACAGTTAGAACGAAGTTTAAACGATCCGTCAGGTCGCGAACGCCTCCGAATTGACCAAAAGCATGCTCGCGACGATCCAGGTAGGCTGAGTTCAGATTGGATGACTGCAGAACGAATCAATCAGCGTTTGTCTGATCAACTATTTGAAATGCCAGGGACGCAATCTGGTTGGTGCGTCACCGCGCCATTCTTGCATGCGTGGTTTATTCTATATATTCGCGTATCAAACTCTAATAAAAAATACACTATGACTGTTGTCTCCATCCAGCTTCTCCCTCCGTGTTGTTCGGACTCGAGCAAGAGTCATTCGTGTCAATCGTACATCTAGGCCTAACACAACACCCACTATCATTGATTTCTCTCCGAGAAGATCAAGAAGGACATCAATTTGACTTCGAATAGGTGAAAATCATCGATCAAGCCCGGTCAAAACATGTCAAAGAATTTCTCGAGGTTTACGCTCTTCAATCAACGCAATAAACAGACACATCGCACTGAATCACGTGTAAACGTCGAAGCAACTCAAGGATCAAGTGACAAAACAAAAGATCACGTCGTGAAATGAGAACGGACAAAAATACCGCAACTAACACGGAATAACCACCCAATCCCATCGCACCAGTTCAACGGCGAACTGAGTCGAACACAGTGAGAAGAAGGGGAAAAATAGACGATGGAGAAAAACACATATATAAACGAACGAGTACAAGTGGGACACTGCTACTTTACAAGCACTGATGATGTCACCTCGGTTGGTGATGAAACGTGTGCCAACAAATTGCTAAGCTCGGCGAACAGGCGAAATGGAATTTTCAGTCGCTGTTGTTTGTGAGCCTAGTCACTTGAACACAATGGTTTTTCGGAGAGATTAGTAGAAGGACCTAAAAGGTAACTATAAAATGTACAACCTACCCTCTATTACACTCACATAAGTTCTTATCTAGGACTCACACTGGTGTGGATACTTTTTCACTGTTCCGAGCCTTATCGGCGTACGATATTCACCGTCATCATCAAAGTCCGGCTCATTGTGTGAAACTTGCTGAAGTTAGAAAGGAATTTATATGTAATTCGGGTCGCTAAAATGGTCCGGACTTCTGTCTACCTTACCTCCTCACACAAAGACATTCCATATGCGAGCAGAAGAAACCGCAAGCAGATATTACTATCTACCGCCTCCAATCACTTTCCCAGGATTGTCACATGCTAACTCATCTTCGCCCGCTTCTGGCTTTCTTCAAGCATGTTGTGCAAGGATGACAGAAGAAGTGCGGCGCTTAGAATATAACTTCGTTTAGGGTTACAAGGAAGTTATTTTTGGATTTGCCTGTGGCTGGTTCTTTCGGCACTCTTGGTTCAGGGTCGAGGCCTGAGAAATATCGTCGGTGTGCGACAATAGGTGATGTGAGACAGAGAAAAACAGTGGCGTCGATACGGTATGTTATTGTTGTGGCGTTGGCACCATGCTTACCCGCAAGCCGATGTTATATATATATAAACATCCTTCATTTCTTCTACCTAAAATCTTCAATTAAACTTAGGATCCGCGTCCATTATTCTTTCTTTATTGGTTACCCACGATGTCCTTTATTATATTCTTCTTTTGTGTGCTAACCTATATTTTCTGTTGCATAATTGAAATTATAAATCATTGTAAATTAAAAAAACATGAATATTAATGGTGTGTATGATTCCAGTCGGTTTTATTTTTGAGATAATCTGCAAGTCTTTTTTATACTGGGTTTATCAGATAAACAATCTACTCAGTGAATCTATTATTCTCTTCGGTTCTTCGTATAGAGCCAACAATGCGAACCTATTTATCTTGCTTGCTCGGTGAAAGAGTGTAAGCATCTTGAGGTTCAGAGCCGTTCGTGTGGAAATATGTTAATGAAAACAACACCACATAAAATTAGCTTATCTGACGAATGATACTACATGGGGTATTGTTCTGAACAGTAATCACACCGCCTGAAGCATTTTGCTTCAAACCTTCAGCAAAAATAAGCCAGATTATTTCGCAAAACGTTTGGTTGATGTTACCCGGGCGAGGAGAGACTAAAGCACAGGTTAATTATATTTTGGGCCCAACTAGCATATCAATTGGGACGGGCGACTTCTTTTACTAACTGGTAGTCTACGTTTTTGTGACGAATGCCTACCGTAGGTGAATTCATGGTATGGCCATCCTTGGGGTCATCACAAAACCATCCCTCCTTCAAAAAGGAAAATGGTAGATTAGATATTCCTTCGGATAAATCATAATCATAGCTTTATGTACTGCCTCGCGATTGCTTGTTTTATCTTTCGTCTTTCACTTCTTAAACCACCATTGAACTACCGTAGGTTTTCCTCCTTTAGATGAATGCTATTGATGTTAATTAGATACCGTATTTGATGGCATCTAATTTTCGTTTACCTGCAAATGTTTGCAGTATTTGAAGCGTTTCCAACCCCGTTACTCATGGAACAAGGGGATCAGGTGTGTTGTTGTTAGTTCACGCTAAATTTTGCCTTCGGGTAATAAGTCCAGTTAATCTAAGACGAGTTAAAAGCGATATTTTGCACGTTCAAGGGTTGAAAAATCACTAGAAGCTCTAATGATCAAAACTAACACATAACGGTACAGCATAACCAAAGTCACTTGGAAATTTTTGTATCTTCCCAACTTGCATAAATTTTATCCGGTAAGCTTTGTTTCGCAGTTTCCTCCAAAGCGAAATATCTTTAATCTCCTCCAGATTGGGTTTGTAAGTGTTAAACGGTATGTGCTAGTATGTAAAGTATGTGCAATCACCAACATTATTTAGCCCCTCCACGTCCTCACCCCACTTACAGTCAAACAGTTATCCTGACCATTTTTAACAGGACTTCTGTCTTTGTGTCGAAACTGAAATCGATCCTTCATTCATCCGGTTAGCGTGATTCGGTTCGAGTGCAACCATAATTTGTGTTGATCTTATTGATTACTCACACCCGTCGCACGACGTTTTTATTATTGTGTCACATCAGCTTAACTCAGCTTTGGTGCATAAGTACACATAAACGCGTCAGCCTTCTCNTCAGATGGATCTGCCCAATCCATCCGATCTTTTTTAAGCACAATTTTTCACTTCTGCTACTCCCAGCTCAGTCGAAGGCTTACCACATGCTGCAGTCAACCCATTGACTCCCGTGCTCCCAGCTCTTGGACAACTTGTGCCTGACGGTGGGTAATCGTACGTGAGAACGACCAATGTCTTAACTTCACAGCATGCAGTATTACTGGCCGTTTTCAGTTTACTGGTACGCGCATACCTGTGCCAATCCAAATAAGGCTATTCCAGTTATGTAATCTTTGGGCTCACAGATGTTTGTTTTGTATTCAGTGCTTAGATACAATGGAGAAAGATAATGCGTGCGTGTGGGTTTATGCACCGAAATCGCGTTGGTCACACCCTACAAACTATAGCGAAAAAGA